TGTTACAGTTCGTAAGCAATATTGGCTTAATATATATATTGTAAATTATTCAAAGATGTTATATTTTTTATTTGTTTCTCGTTTAAAGTCTATTATTTAAGTATTTTAATTAAATATGTATAGAAAAATTAATTTTTTATTGATATCTCATGCGCTAATTATATTTGTTAATAAATCTGCATAGACAAAAATATTTTTAGACACACACATATATATATATATATATATATATGCAAACTAAGTGAGAATAAAAATTTGAAAAATAAACTGCGAAGATATTTACAATTTAATTTTTGTTTAATTTTTTTTTAATTCTATTTTTTTTAATATAAAATAAACTTCTAGTTTCTGTTTAATACGAGAACAAAAGTTATAATCGTCTAGAACCTCACGGCGATCGCATTTCGTTTAAAATTATTAATCAAAGTATTATACTGCCATTATATATCCCTTGCTTCTAAAAATATAAATACGATTTCGGCTAGAATGAAAGCAATTTGCACATCAAATTTGAAAAACTTTCTCTCGTATCACATTATTTAATAAATTTATTTTAATGCTTTATTACGCTCTATTCCATATAAATAATTTTAATAACAGAGTGGAATTTTTAGGTATTTATGTTATAAATTATACTTGACAAATATACAATTTGTACAGCTGAGAATCAAATAAAAGCTTGTATCTATCTACTGTACATTCCATGTACGGAGCGTTTATGTTGCCCGTAGCCGTATGCCAATTAATCTAAGAATTGATTAATCACAGTTGAATCTTCCTCTCTCCACTATGAAAAGGGAATACTCGAAGGTGATCGGTCAATTTTTATAGATTATGAATATGGTTATGGCAAATATAAACGCTCCTTTAGGGATCCACCTAAGAATTAACTACTTGACATTTTTTTAAATGGTATAAAAACATGTTAGTGTACATATCATATAATATTTAATATCAAAAATATAAGTGTACTAAGATATTGAGATAATCGTTTTAAGAAATTTTTCCTTTGTGACATTTGTAGTTTTATAATTATAAAATTATAAAATTTTAATATGTGTACATACATGGAATTTTTTAGGACTTTTTCTGTACCTTTAATGTTTTTCTAAAAATACAGGCAAAATTCTAAAAAATGCGTATAAAAATTTTGTGTTTTGTAATTTTATCTACAAATGTTAAAATAGAAAAACGATTACTTTCAACATCTTGAATGCAAGGCATATAATACTTATTTTTTTACTATTATATAATATATGTACCTTATAATATAAGGTCTTATACAATATCTTATACAATATCTATACACTAACATATTTTCATGCTCATTAAAAAAAATCTTAAACAGTTTATTTTTAAATGGCTTCCTGAAATGTGGAATGCGCCATAAATATGTAACTGACATATAGATGATATGGATTTTATATAACAATGTATGATGATGTAGTCAAATAAAATATTTGATAACACATCTTGCTCATGTACAACTCTTTCCATGTTGTCGAATATGCAGGGAACTACTATAATAATTTATTTTGTAACAATAGTCTCTAGCGTTCCTCGAGCTCTAGTCTCAATCTCTATTAATGAAAACGTAATAATTAATTAATAATATATCCGTAACGTGCACAAATAAGTATTACAAATGAGGAGTATATACATTTAGTGTATACGGTATTGGAAGTGCTTGATAATTATACGTTGCGGATATTTCATATAGAATAATCTTATCACATACTCTCTCAATTACCAAATAGCAACCTGACGTTATTTATCGTTATTTTAACTCGTCTTTTTAACATCTTTAATGACACTTTTACGTCAAAATGGCGATAAATAACCTCAGCTTGTTGTTTGATTTCTTTGGAGTGGAATCTTATTCTAAACTCTAAAGAATAAAAATTGAGACAGTCTTGAAAAAGAATGACTTAATTTTCAATTTTTAAGAGTGAGATTTTACTCTTCAGAATGAAAATCATTCTTAAAAGTTTTTAGAGAGTATGTAATTAAACACACTTACGTAAGTAGAATTTTTAAAAAGACAATTGACATAAGTTCTAGCCTAGACTAGAAGGGCATTTATATATTATTAATCGTTTGAGTGTTACTATGCAGCGCGATCATACTTCTCATCTTTCTTGTTGAAAAGTATCAACAAGTAGCTGATAATCAATTTCGACTGGATTTCTTAGAATTAAATATTAATCAAAATGTTTTCTTTCAATTAATTATAAATAGATTTTAAAAATACATACAGTAAATTGTATTTTTACTTACCACAACACTTATAAATTTTTCGACATGAAATAGAAGTGCGAATGCATCGCTAGACAGAGTTTTTCGCATGGATTTTTACGACCATCTTCAACATTCAAACGATTAAGCATATATAATATATACAGTATTATATCCTAAATTATTTTAATAAGTTAAGCTAGTGAACCAAAAATTACTGAGACAATATTGTACCATCAATCCCGGCAAACTGACAAAAATAATCTATATGTACTGAATTAAAAATACAAAGTTAATTAGAAACATGACTTAACTTTTTTTACCTATTTCTCCTTAATGAGGTAAGCTTATATAGTTAATATATGTAAATGACAGTCATATAATTTTATATATTAAAAAATTTATTATTTGCTTTCAAATTATACAATTTTTGTTTGAAACGTTTTTTCGTATCTTCCATATATATTTTCCAAGATATCATTTAACTGTTTAAAATAAGACCTTATATATTTTTTTATCTGTATC